ATGCCCTTTTACATCACTCTGGCCATGTAAAGGGATCTTAATGTAATCTACATTCACTTAAAGGTCCCTCAAACTCTAGAACAGGGGCCAGCAACATTTTTTGTCAGTGCCAAAAACACCTGCAACCTTGACCTGTAAAAAGTTGGCGTGCCGGGGCAAATGCTGGGGGAGTCACCAGGTACCCAATCCTTGTTGTGGCAGTGCAGCTCTGGCCCCTTCCCCGCCATCCGCCTCGAGGCATGTGCGCCAAGCAAAACACCTTCAAGTGCCACACTCTGGCACCCGTGCGGAGGGTTGCCTACCCCTGCTCTAGAATCTTCTAACAGGGCATTTAAATAAGAATCAGGCACAGTGTCTATAATTTATAGACTTCATTTTTTTATAGTCTCACTGAGAAACTATATAAAAATAGCAGTTTCTATTAACAGTTTCTTCACTTAACCAGGCAGTAAACCCTGTGGAAGTGGCACTGGTGACGTGGCAGTCACTGAAGGAGGTGGTATTTGAGGGAGGGCCAGGTCCATGGATTTTGGAACCATCTCGTTTCTTCTTGGAACTGACTATGGAGCATGAGGAAAAAATCAAAGTTACTCAGGTCCGTCTGCCAACCAAAAGGAAACAAAACCAATACATTTACCGGATTGTGTGCCTGGAGTTGGGGGAACAGGTAGGAGAAACACATTTCCTGCAATTTAATGACTAACTGGAAGCAAGTTGGAGAATATAGCAGGCACAGGCTTGCAGTTTAAAGCAGTAACTGTGAGAAAACACATTCCATTTCCTTTGACAGGAAAATACTTGGCTTGTGTTAGGACAGGCTAAGCAAGGGTCAGATGGATTCCCTTGTACCTAACTATTAGTTCAGGAACACCTACAGTAACTTCTGTTTATTTGTCATTCCAGGGGGAATATAGATAATGGTGAATTATCCAGTAGTGACCAGTTATCAGGAGTTAATAATTGTGGCTGGAGGGGGGCTGCTGGTAGGGAATCAGAACAATTGTGAATTAAACCATAGGGGTGAATTATTCCATAAAGAAATGTACTGTACTGCCCACTTTGCTAAGGCATAAGGGGGTGGCAGTGCCTGCATAAAACTTTCCATAAAAATCAAATTTTCTTTCCAGAATATGCTTTATCACAGCCTAGACCTTTCTCTCAGCCTCTAATGTAGGTGTGGACTTGCCTTAGTTTTCTTTAAATAGTCCTATATTGGAACACTGTTCAATATGAAATATTGGGTGCAGCTCAAAGTGAAGACTGTCTGGCTAATTATCCTTTTGGCATGTCTTTGAAGGTGCTGACCTTCCGAGTAGGTAATCAGCCAGGTGTCCTGAACCCCAATCCTGCAGTGGAGATGGTGCAGGTGATATTCATTTGTGCTCATCCAGCCAGTATGTCTGTGACTCCAGTTTACAACGTATCTGCAGGTGCCCAGCCCTGCCCATTACTTCAACATAACAAGCAGCTGGTAAGGATTTACCTGTTTGACACAAAACTAAGAGTACAACTCTCCTATGCTGCTGGATGAACGAGTAGGAACTCAAAATGTGTATGGTACTTTTATCACTAAGTTGAAGCTTTTGTAGCATTAACCATTAGTCAAATAACCCTTTATCAGAAAGACATGATCTGACAATAGAATGATCTCAGTCGTATTAAGTGACTTTTACCTTAGCACAGTCCCTCTGCTCTGAAAAACTGGCTAAGCTAGTTGTGTTTCACAGCCTCCAGAGAGGAATCATAATGAGCTAGACTCTCTTGTCTGTTTGGACTGCACCTCTGCAGTCAAGACGATGGTTGTTACGGGCTGCATGAGAAAAGTTCAAAGGCCCAGTTAGCTGCCCATGTTTTAAAGGGAGCTGGTGTTTCTCTGGGATCAGATTCTGGGTTATTAATGAGTTCTGTTATTTTTGGTGTAGATCCCTGTGTCCAGTTTGAGGAATACAGTTTTGGAGTTGGCTGTATTTGATCAACACCGGCGAAAGTTTGACAACTTTAGTTCTTTGGTGCTGGAGTGGAAATCATCCAATGAAACCTTTGCACACTTTACAGACGCAAAGTCTATGCAGATGGTAGCAAAGAATGATGGTAGTGGACAGATCAGGATGCATGGTACCATTTCCTTTTATACAGTGAATTGCAGTGAAGTCACTAAGAGTTATACCAGGACTGAATTTAGCCCAGTTTCACTCTCCCTTCCTCCTAATATAACCTGTCCATGTGTGCATCACTGTGACTCAAGTTATTCCTGGAATTTAACTGTCAATGGAGAAATTGAAATATCATAACAAATCTAGTGCCAGCCTCCTCCCCTTCTTAAAATGGAAGTGATCATTTATGAACCTGTTTTGAAAATATGGCATTCAACTTGCTTTGTTTTTTCTAGTTAAAAGTAAAATTGGGTCATCCCCCTCCCCCCCCCCCCCCCTTTTTTTTTTTTTTTCCCCGAATACCATCTTATGTTTAGTAATAACTCTGTTTCTGCCATTCATAGGGCATCAGCTGCTAGAAGTACACCAAATGAAAGGGACTGTTCTGATAAGAGTCAGCTTTGTGAAGTTTTCAGAGAGAGGCAGCCCAAAAGTGAGTGAAGGGAGATATTTGGGGCATGTTTTCAAACCCTTTTGAGATGTGTAAAGTAGAGATTGTTTAATAGTTTTAACCTTCAACTGATTTCTCTACCAAACTATTGCATTCTACTGATAATCTGAGCTGAGTAGGCCAAGGTTATTCACCTAAAAATTATGTTAATTTCTGAAAAGAGAGAGCTTTACTATTTCAAGAGGTAAATCCTATTTGGACTGTAGTGCCAGTTACAAGCACCAATACGAGGCCACCGCAGTCATCAGTCCATCCTGTGTAAGTCGCTTGGGCTGGTGTGACTTGAAAGAACACTAATATAATGTCTCTCTGGTTTTGGTTGCATATTTAGGAAGTATCTAACTTACTCAACTCCGCAGCTGTGGAGTTGATACTGGTAGAGGATGTGACCATTGTGCCAGAGAACATCACTATGTATAATCATCCAGCTATAAAGGTAGGAACATTTAGCATGGCTAAATTGTGCCACATCACTGTTTGATGTATTGTGTAGACTTTTACTGAGAAGAGGCGCTTCTTTTCACTTCTGTGGGAAAAATATCTGTCTAAAGTTCTTGCCCATATAACTGACCATCAGTGCAGTAAATGATCAGTTCTTTGACATTTCTCATCTGTTCATTGAAAAAGAAATGCTAGGTTGTGTTACAGAGCAAGTGTTGCTTATATGCTGCAGTAGCAGTGCTTCTGGAAAGGAGGCCATTGTCTCAAACCATCCTTCTTAACATTCTTTTGGAAGTGTTCTTCACAGTACACTGCACAGGGCAGGTTCTGTTCTGGCACAGCAAAACTGAAGGGACAGTGTAATTTTACATAGAAGAATGACTATTCATTGCCTTAAAACAGCCTTCTGTGCATTGTCTGCCCCACTTCCAATCCTTGCCCATCTGCCAGTGAATAATGAGAAATCATTGTTGGATTTCCATCAGGCTGCATCACTTAGAGTTAAATTAATGGAATTAATAGTATTTGCTCTATTGGGTAACAAAAGGAAGTAATCATTGCTCTTGAACTTCCTTTATTGGGTGAGCAGAATCAGCTGGGAGGACCATGACCTTGTATACTAGAGCTTGCTCTTTGTAATGTCAACATTGCTGTGCATCTGCTAAGTGTTGAAGTCTTTACTTATTTATTTATTTGCTCAATTCATACTTGATAAAATCTCCCTTGGAGGCTAATTTTGAACCCCAAAGTCAGTGGTAACTTTCTCTTTCATGAGCAGAACTGAAATGGTTGGTAAATGAGGGCGCTGGAATTTTTTTCAGTTTTATTTTCCTTCCTAGGAGATGTTTGACCTAGTGGAAGGATCTGGGTACTTCCTAGTCAACAGCAGTGAAGATGATATAGTAAATATTACGTACCTGGAAGCAGAAAGTGCCATTGAGGTGAGCATGTTGGGAATGTTTGGCTGTGGAGAAAAGCCTGAGTTCAAATTCTCGGTGTAAGATTCACTTTCCAGGAAAGGAAGAAAAATTCTCCCTTTGTTCCCTTGTCCCTTATTTCGTTGACTTTCGTAGCTGTTTATATGTTCCACTACAAAATTCAGGATTTCATTAATGCAAGTAGGTGTGTGAAGTGGGCCAAATATTTATTGAAACAGATATCTTATTGAGGTAAAACAAAACATATTAGATTTAAAGACCTCCTGGTACCAAGTGGTATCAAACGCACTGTATATAGATGTTATTTTGGGTTTTGTTACAAGGTTAGGGAAATGAATGACCTTCAAACCCTAGAATTGTGTAGCTTTGAGGGAGGTGGTGAAAGCCCCTTACTATTGGGACTTTTACAACCTGACTGGACAGTGTACTTCCACCTCTGCTGCAGGGAACAATTCTTTGATGAATTCTGAGGGCTGAACCAAGTGGCCTTGTGGTGGGCCAGTAGGGGGCGCTCCTGCGTTGAGCCACCCACCTCACTGTGCCTGACCACCTTCCAGGCTCCAAGTGCTTCCCTGGGGGCACCTCATGTCTGGCAGACCCCCTTCCTGGAGCACACCTGCTAGCCTGGGGGTTCCACTGCCACCACCCAAGGCTCTGGACTTAATTCTGGCTGTGTACCCTGGGAAACACAGGGCTAGTAGCCCTCAGGGGTACTTGATTCACTTCAAGAAGTTAGGATGCTTCCCTCAGTCGGAAGCACAAGTAGCGGTCTCCCTTAGTCAGCCGAACCAAGGGGATCCCCAAGGCATAATCTAGACCCACTCCCAATAAGTCTCCCACACTAGGTACAAAGGAGACCTTTATTGGTTATAAAAGGTAGGGTTAGAATAGGGTATAGGGTAGAACAATATCAGAGAAATCCTATAGAGCAAACTCCCCTGGCTGGGTAGCCTTTTGATCACGCATCTGAGTTACTGCAAGCTATATATCTAGTTAGATCTCAGGTAGCTTACTCACAAGTATCATCCAGAGGCAGTTGGAGATTCCCTCTGGAGGCAGGCAGTTCCTTGATCACGAGTTTTGAGAGCGAGAGCAAGTTTCAGATGGTGCAGCTCTTCTCTGTCTCTGAGTCTCCCTCATGGCTGCTGTCCCCTCCTCCTGGGCAGTCCTTCACTTATATAGCCCTTGTGACCTCATTTACCTGGTCCAATGGAGGCCAGCACCTGTTGGCTGTCAGGCATTCAATTTGAAATACATCACTAGTTGCCGGGCAGACTCTAGCCCACCAAGGGGGAAGCCCCTCACCCAGGTATGTGATACTAGTCACATAGGCAGAGGGAGCAGGTTTCCCCCCTCCCTCAGGAATGTACCCAGCTCAGGTTACCTAAAGAGATAGGGTAAAGGTGTGTATCCTCTGCTGGGCCCATCCTAATCAGATTGTCACAGAGCAGAGTTTTGGGGGGGAGAAACGTAGGTGGCTTTCTGCCACAGGCCTTTTCTGCCTTTCACTTCCCTAATGATTTGAGAAATGACTTCCTAGCAGAGTGCAGTACTTAGTCACCTTCACAAGTTAGCTTAGCTTTTTGGTCAGAGAGATGCAAATGACTGCAATTGCCTTGTCTGAGCCTCTACGCTTTCCCTGCAGGTCATCCCTTTGCAACCTGGGTCTTTAACCATGGCGGTCTATGATCTCTGCCTGGCTTTCCTAGGACCAGCTACCACTTATCTCCATGTGTCTGACATTTATGAGTTGGAGGTGGACCTGGTTGATAAGGTGAGACAGTCCTCGGGAGATCGAAGTATTGGCAAGAACATAGCCAGGTGGGATGTGATATTTCTTGTAGTTCTTGTTTCTGTGTATGTCACTTTATCTAGACTGTGTGGAACTTACTTTTTTGCTGAAAGGAAAGAATGTTTTGACATATACACTGTTTTATTCTGATTGTGTTTGAAATCTTAGGTGCAATTGTTTTTTCTCACAAAAAGAAAAGGGCACTCTTGATATGGCCCTTTCTCTCAGCCTCTACTAGCAGGATTTCCAGACTGCCAGACTAATGGTTCCCAAGCACAGAGTATGCTGGCAGACCAGGGTGACAGCACAGCCTGTATTCACACTTGTAAAAGTGCTCTCTCTTTATCTAGATTGAGATTGGCAAATCAGTCTTCGTCACTGTGCGAGTGCTGAGTTTTCATCGCTATCCCTTCAGGAGCAAATACTTCAAGCACATGAAACTGAAGCTGCAGGCGGCATCTGCTGTTTTTACACTTGCGTGAGTAGCGCAGGCAGGCTGGTGCACTTCCTTTTTCCAACAGCAGCTGATACTTTTCAGATACTGCAAAAGAGCTAATAACTACAGAGAAAAATCTGCTTCCAGCACCTCTACCATCCCCAGGCTAGGGGAGCATTGTGATTAGAGTGTGTGAGTACATGTCAGGACTACTGAATTCCTGTCCAGTTCTGTCACCATCCCGCTAAATGATCTTAGGAATGTTGTTTAATCTCCCAGCGTCTCCATTTATCCTTCTGTAGAATGGTGATGACATGCAAGTACTTCGTAGGGCAGGGTTCCAGGCTCAGTTCATATGTGCAAAGCTCTTTGAGATCCTTGATTCATACTTACCAGTTGATTAAATGAGTTTATTTCCGACATGGTAGCTCAGCCCATAAATTTACAACTCTTCTGGCTGGAAATAGGTTTCTTTGGAATCCTTGTGTAGTCTTTTGTTTTCCACTGTTTGCCTCACTGTGGAGACAGCCAAAGATATATCAGCGTGCATGCAAATATTTTAATGGGCAGTGATTGGAAAGGAAGTTCAGCGTGTTGGATTTTTAAATCTTGCCCCAACACAAGCAAGATGGCTTGTTGCATGCTCATTGACTAGTAGAAGAAAGCTTCTATCCCCACCATTATATAGTTCTAATGCAGGGTGGGAAAATTAAAATAACTGTAAAGTGCTTTTCCAGGAAAATGGAGGAAGTGGGTGAATACTCTGAAATTCATGTGCTTCAAGCAGTTGCAGTAGGCCAGACAACTTTGGTGGCCATAGCCTGGGACAAGATGGGAAGAAAGTTTACTTCCCTACCTCGTAAAGTTGAGGTAAGAGTCCTTATTTATATCAGCTAATGTCTGGGTGTCTCATCATTTATCAAATCTTTTCCTTCAATTTGCTGTGGGGAAAAAGAAGTTCTGCGTAACACTGGCTTGAATACTTTGAATTTTAAATGTTTCCGATAGTCATAAAAATGGGAAGATTTTATTACCATTGCCAAGTTGTAATGTCTTATGCGGTAATTTACATATTACACCAAGCTGTCCCATGAAATGCCGCTGTAGAGCTGATGCTGAGAAGGCAGAGTATTTTTGCTAGCTGTGGGAGCATCATCATTTTGATGTAGAGGTCTCAAAGGGATGTGACACAGTCAGCTTTAGAGATGCATCTAGGATGCATTTGTAGGCATTAGCAAATAAATCAGTTAATAACTTGTAGCAAACTGATTGGGGTCTAAATTTGAGCTCTTTTTTGGTAGGTAAGATTTATGTGACACCTCCATGAGAACAAGTACAGACTGGCTCAGTACCTGTTCACTGGTGCATTGCTAAGGACAGGATATTTTTTGCTTTAAAGTTTGTCTCCATTAAAAATAAAACAGCAGAGTTTTTTTCTACCTTTCCCCTTTGCTAGGTCTTTCCTCCATTCAAACTTATCCCAAAGAAAATGACTCTCATTCCACACAACATGATGCAGGTGAGCTTTAAAAGATTTTAGTTATTCCAAAAAATTTAAACTTCTGAATTTCCCTTTGCCCCTTATTTTCTTTTCCACTATATTTATTTCCAATAGAAGTTGTGCTTCCTGTAGGTTGGCAAAAAAAAGCACAAATTGGACATATGCCTTAGTTGTTTGCCTCATTTTCAGAGACTACTGCTTCTTTCAGTGGACAGCTATCCTTTTGTTTGTTTAACTATTTCAGGTGATGTCAGAAGGTGGCCCACAGCCACAGTCCATCATTCACTTCTCTATCAATAACGAGACTGTGGCTGTAGTTAACAGGCTTGGCCAGGTAACAGCTAAGACAGTGGGAACAGCCATAATACAGGGCACTATTCAGGCAGTCAGTGAAGACACAGGAAGAGTAATTGTTTTCTCACAGGTATCTTTCCATTTTGTTTCATATTTTCTCATTATTTTTTCTATGATTTATTTTTCTTGTATTGACCTCTGCTGAAGAAGTGCATGAGCAGGTGAATTTGTCAGGCTCTCTGGTCAACTTGGCAGAGTTGATCTTGAAAATTCTTACTTAGAAAAAACTGCGGCTACCAAGATACCACCCCAGAGGCTTGCCATGTGTAGCAAGAAGTAGAGGTTATTGTAAGGTTGCTGTTGCAGCTTGTTCATTTGTTCTCCATTTAAAATGAAAGATGACACCTTTGCTTGTTGGAAAGAGAAATGCCTGATTCTGTCGTGTCAGCTCAGATATACCCATACGTTTTGGTTTTTTGCTTTGTAGCGCCCCTAGTGGGAAATGTGCTGTTGAAACAAAACAGATGTTTAATTCACACCAATCAGCAGGCACCAAACAACTCTAGCGCCCCCCACACTGGAAACTTTTCCTGCTTGGGTAGTAAATAATTTCCTGCAGCCTTCAAGTAAGTGCTCCTAGTGCCATATTTGCTTATCATTCTTCAGAGACTGTCTCTTCTACAGTACTGCTAAGGCCATGTGCAAATGTATGCTTCTTGTGTAAAGCTCCTGGCTAAGCCCTTAACCAGTCTATAAACTGTTTATTTCAAAAGTGGGACTCCAGTCTACTTCTTCAGACTGTTCATCTTTTCAGACAACTCAAGACTTGTTCTTTGCCTTATTTTTCAGGATCAAATAGAATTGGAAGTAGTTCAGCTAAGAGCAGTAAGAATTCGTGTACCTGCCACCAGGCTTATAACAGCCACTGAGGTAGGTATCAGAGCTATATAGTCAACTCCACTGCCATTGTCAAGTAGAGAATGACATTCACACTCGAACTGGGACTCCAGTCTACTCATATGATTCCAGGTATGACCCCAAAGAGGGTTTAGGATCCTGACACTGGGTTTACTAAAATGATGCTGTAAGCAAGAGGATCTCTTGAATTATCCAGACCAGTAATTCCCCACCTTTTTAAAGAAGGTGACACTGATTTGTCAAACAGAGCTCAGATGATCCCCATTTAGCTGTGTGGCTTCAGCTAAGGCTGCTTCAAACCCCATTCATACAGCTGCAATCCACCCACACTCTACAGTGGGTTACAGCGTTGTGCCCAGTTGAAAGGGAACTGTGAAATCCCAGTGATGTAACTTTAAAGGGAAAAGAGAGGGTCCCAAATACATGAAGTGGCAGCTTTGATTGGGAATCATGTATCTAGTTCACTGGTGAGGGGTGAGTTCTAAGACTGTCTTGTGCTTAGACAGTGGAAAGTCACTCACATTTTTTGTGTACATATGTGTAAATGAGGAAGAAAGCTGTATGCAGGGAGATGTAGGATGCATACTGAAAAGGTGAATTGCTTAGCTGGTGCTGAATATCTGAGCATGTCCAAATATAACACACTGATTGTAATATTGCACCTTCTACCAGTCCAGGAGGTAGGGACTGAATTTAGATCCTTTGCATTACAACGTATTTCACTGGCATTAGGCTAGAATAATTGTAAGAAGGGGGCACAAGGTTTTATTATGGAGCTTCAGAGAAATGCCATTGGTACCCAATTCATGATGCATGTATTGCAAACCCCAACTATTTCTGGAGGGTTTACACTTGATTTCTAATTGGAATGGTAATAGCCTTTCATGATTTGTCCACTGTTTATATGGTGTTGGGGTGAGAAGCCCAGAACAATATAGGAAACCAGAGAGAGCCCCACGTTTCCATGGTCACAGTACTCTTGTTTTGCAGATGCCTGTTTATGTGAAGGGCATGACCAGCATGCAGACTCCATTTTCCTTTGGCAGTGCCAATGCAGGGCTGATGTTTCAGTGGTCAATGAGCAAACGGGATGTTCTGGACCTACTTCCACAACACTCAGAGGTA